GTATGTGGGTATTGCGTCACTTGGGGGACTGCCGTCCCCCGTGATAAATGTATCTTTTCACACAAAAATCCTTTAAAATTAATCGATACACCCAATAGATGGTATAAAAATTCGCGAAAAATGAAAAAAAAAATTAATTTTTCTTCGATTCTCAAATACTACTCAATTTTCTGTATCACCTGATGAAATCAGAATGAAAAAATCGCATTCCATATGATGTTAATCACGATCTGGACTTTTTTCACTGTTTGAGTGCACTATACCGAGTCTCCAAGAGTTTCATATAAACTTGCTATGTGATACTTATTGAACATATTTTTTCTAAATTCTCATACGTATAGTGGATAAAATTATGATTGAAATGTTTCAAAAAAACTTTTTCTCAAAGTGTCCCCCGAAAAAGTTTCTTATGAATGGACTCAAAAAAAAGTTTACAATCGAAATGTCCCTCAAATTTATTGCAAAAGAAAATGGAACTTAGGAAAATTTACATGAATCTTTTTTGTAGGGACATTTTAATTCGAAACAAATATTCGGGACACTTTCATTTGGAATAATTCTGCGGGACACTCTAGTTTGCAACAAAATTAAGTTTCATTATTATTCTTAACCATTCTTATTAATATGTTAATATGTTGAAGAGAAAATGCTGACCAATAAGGGACTTCGAACAATTCACACCAGCACAATTGAAACAATTTTTATGAAAGTGATAGTTTTGCCAACGGACGGCTTCTTCATCTGAACATATTATGCGTTTACAGCTTTGGCATTTTTCAGCAAAATATTTATCAAAGCAATCCAAACACAAAGGCATATTTGTTTGATCGTCTGGTGTATATTTTTTCCCTGAAAACCACAAAAATACAATTATATAGATTTTTTTTTTTAAAAAAAGGAGACCCGTTTTTACCAGCTAGTGGTGTGTCACAATTATAGCAACAGAAGTGTTTTACATGATAACAACGTCCTTCAGCTGACGTATATTCTTTGCTCCAAATTATTTCATCACATGCTCCACATCGTTCAAAGTTTAATACTTTGGCCAAATCACGACCGCAATAAATATTACCTGAAAATTACAAAAAATAAAAATAAAAATAAATTATATTAAAAGAAAAATTGAGAAATATATCTTAAAATTATCCTCCAAATAGTTTTCCTCCATTACAAGAACCCTAAAATGGTCTAGACTAAGAGCAGCACATTAATGAAATGCATATCAAAGCAAAACAAAACGTAGTTTTTATTCATTACAACAATAAATCTTTGTGAAAAAAACGTCTTGTTTCACTTTGATATAAGTAAAAAACACTTCTTTCGAAGTTCCCAGTGTGACGCAATACTATAAATCTGAAAATGTTCTGATATAAATTTTCAGTGACGCGTTCACTCAAATATGTACTATGGTTTCATTAAATTCCCGACCGATTGACAGTTGGT